GTTAATTTGCCAAGCCTGCCTCATTAAACCTTTGGTTTTTTTAGAGCAGGAGAAAAGGAGGAGAAGGAGCTAAAGTAAGAGCCTCGGGAGCAGGGAGGAGGGGTTGCCACCGCTTTGCTGTGATGCGCAGGGCTGGGGACTGAGGTTGGGTGGCGAGGAGGGTGACTGGCAGGCTGCCTGCACCCCTCGGCCGTGCCCCCGGCGGGGGCCTGACCCCTCCAGTCCTGGCTATGTCCGCAGCAGCTATTTTGAGCACGTCCCAGCAGTGGGCAGGAGCCTGTGACGCAGCGAGAGCGGCGTGCCCGGGGTCTGGCTGACCCGCAGGGTGGTCGGTATGTACCCGGGGCCATGATGTCCCTTGGGAGAGCAGTGGCCTCATCCTGCTGCACCCCCAGCCCCTCATTGCTGCGTCTGGCCTGAAGCAGGGAGCTGCGGCCCCTTTGCGAGCATGAGGGCTGTGCTTACACCCCGTTGCTGCTCAGCGTGCCTTCTCGGGGCGCTAAGCCGTCAGTGTTGATGCTAGAGTCATCCCTTCGCTGCTGCGGGTCCAGCCGTGCCTCCTCGTGCAGCCACGCTCCCCTTGCCCAGCTGGGGCTGGGTCCCAGCGCTGCCGGCCTAGCGGCCCCACGAGCCCCGGCCGCTGCGCCAGCCCCTCCCAAGGCCACGCTGCCCCAGCCTCAGCCCCCTCCCCTCCCACGGGTGCTGGTGGTCGCCCTCCTCGCCTTGACCCTCTGGCTGGAAGCGAGTCACATCCTCTTCCTCCCAGCTTCAGCTCTGCCGGGGCTCAGTGCTTCTCCGCTCCCGCCCTTGCCTACCCCGCGACGCCTGGGCAAACCCCACAAAATGACCCTCCTGCCTCCCCCGGGCTGTGCCCTCAGGGTGCAGTGGGACGGGGTGGTGAGTGGGGGTTGGAGGGAGGGTGCCTGTACCCCGACTGATGCCTTGGGTGGGTCACCAGGACTGGTGCAGGGCAGTGGTTTGCGTATGGCGTGGGGTAATAAGGTGGCATCTCTGCTTGCCCGCTCCTCCAGCCACCCTGTCCTCCAGGTCCCCAGGCTGGGTTCCCGGGCTTCCTCTCCCCGCGGCTGGTGGGGGCAAGACAGGCGCACAGCACCCTGCCTGCACAGCGGGCCAGGGTCTTGCCCGTCCTCCAAAGCAGCGCTCACCAAAGTGGGGTGCACACGGCAATCCGTGGGCGCGCAGGGAGAGAACATTAGACCTTCAGCCATGTGGGCATGTCGTTTATACGTCAATCAGCATGCGTCTGCTGGGGGGGCGTCCTCAAAAATATTTACTGACGGGGTGTGCGATCGAGAAATACTTGGAGACGCTGCTGGAAAGAAGAGAGGTGGCTGGCGGGGGCAGAAAGCTGCTACGTGGGGGGACCGTCCCGTGCTCTGTGGGCAGCGTGGCTGCACGTGAGCCCGTGCCCCGGTT